GGGGGGGGGGGGGGGGGGGGGGGGGGGGGGGGGGGGGGGGGGGGGGGGGGGGGGGGGGGGGGGGGGGGGGGGGGGGATCACATATTAATATGACCAATAAATTTGTTTTAAATGGTAGACTAACATATAATGTAATTAATTTTAATGTGTAGGTTACACCAACAAGAGTAGATTCCAAGGGTCAGGTCAGGCAAAAATTGTTCCCTAAAGTGCTAATTTTTAATGTTAAAAAAAGAGGATGATACCGCACCTTTGCCCACCAGCTGGAGAGCATGAAGTACGTGTTCACATTCTCCTCCCCAAACTGCTGCGACACATACAGACCCAGGGAGCCGTACTTGTCATAAATGTTCCTCTTAGTGACGTCAGACAGCACCGCATGAGCATTGTTGAGCTCTTTAAATTTGTCAGTGGCATCAGGGTTCTCGGGGTTCTTGTCAGGGTGATATTTCAAAGCGAGCTTCCTAAAAAAAAAATAGGCGAAGACATTTAAAAATGAAAAATTGACTGCAAAAAGCTTCACCGACCTGAGAATCATATAGAAGTCTTAGGAATGAAAATGCAAAGAACAGAAGTTTTGCTGAATGGCCTTAAGATCAATGTAAATGTCAGGAAGCATATTTAAATGACCTTAGAAATACAAAATCTTTGCAAGAATGTGCACTTTGACTTTTTTTTTTGGTATTCCCCTAAAGAAAGTGACATAAAACAACCATTAGCATAAAAAGGGAAACAAAAATACTTCTGGACTCGCACACAGTAAGAGGAGACTCATTAACATGTGCCAGTTAAAAATACTGTCTGTCTGTTTGATGATCTCAGCAGGGTGTGATCTTTAGCGGCTAGCTGTCTTATGCGCACGCTGCTTGACCTGTCTGTGTGTCGGCAAGACCGCAGACCCCATTAGTGGCTCCAAAAGCTTCTCGGCACATGAGGGGAGGTGAAGAGAAGAACGTCACCAAGCCTGACATTTTTTCCCATTAGAACCAGCAGTGCATTGCAAATGTCTCTGTCTCTGACTCAGTTCAGGTCTGTTCTGAATGAATGCCAGCATGTCCAAACTCTGCGCAAACACTTTTCAAAAGTCTCAGCAGCAATAAGGAAGAGTGTGACATTTTATAATGCTGTGAAATGTCATATTCCTAAGCTCAAAATGGTTGTGGATGATCAGATATCAAACTATAAATATTTATAGTATTTGTAAAAGGCAGAGAAGTTTAAATCTATTAATACCAAAAATAGCCAAGTATTTAAATCTTAAAATCATTACATGAACATAGTCTCTTTTTTTTTTTTTTGCTAAACCAAAAACAAAAAATGTAATCTATAATTCATAATGCTCCGAGCACACACGCTTGTTAATTTTTGATTAAGCCAATGGCGTCTGCAAGAGTTGTGGTGATTATATATTCATTAACAGCAAACAAGTGCTGTTAAAATACTAACCATTTAAATGCCTCCTTGAACAACATGTAAATTAGAACAATTAGACTCTATAATTGTTGGAACATCAGTTTGGTCTTAGAAATGAACTTGTCTAATGAAGCTCTCCGACATGTTGCCTTCATGTTTTAGCATACAAGATACAGAAACAGCACAGGTTGTGCATAAATTGCAGCCTTGGAAAACTATATATATATATATATATATATATATATATATCATACTAAATACAGAAGCACAAGTTGCACATAAAGCAGCCACGGAAAAGAAAAATGTATTTTCATACATATATATTCTCCTATATGTATGACAAAAAATTATGCTATGAATATTTTTTCTCTAGGTTTTTCCAGGTTGCCCTGCTCTGCTGCAGCATAACGTTTAGTTATACCAACTGACAAATGAGACCAACAAGTTATGATGTCAGCGTCAAGATATTACCACCAAAGGCAAGGTTGGCACGTTTTCCATGGTGTTATGTAAATTATAGTGCAGAATCATTCATGTACACGTCGTGCACCCCTGAACATGCTCTTGTCTCTAAGATTCCTTCTTCATTCCTGATCCCAGTAAAATAAGGGATGCCATCTGTTCAGCATAATGAATATTTTAGTTTTGTGGAAGTCATATTATATTCATGCAGCTCCACTGCAACTGAAGGCTGAGATTATAGAGGAATGAGTCGCAGTTTGGCACTTTCTCCATCCTTTGCTCCGTTGTTCACCCCAAGTAGTATCCAAACTTCTTACCTAGTAACCAGAACCAGTAAATGCATTGGGACAAATAGGTATGTGAATCACGTCTTACCTGTAGGACCTCTTGATGTCATCATGGGTGCAGTTTTTGTCAAGGCCAAGAACCTGGTACAGGGCCTCTCCTGATGTAGACAGGGCCCGTTGCCTTTGTTCAGCCATGATCTTAAACCATTACCTTAACATTAAAAGAACAAAGAAGCCATTAATAAATTGTATAAGACAGTAGGTCATGCACAGTTCTCCTGGATGGTGAACAAGATATAACCCAGCTATTAGGTTTTGGTTCCCAGAACGTTTCGGGAAATGTTATAACAAAATAAAAATGGTTAAAAAAAATATATATATAAAAAAAAAACTAAAAATAACCGTTTGGGAATGTTCTGTGTAGGTTCTCTAGGTTGTCACACACACAAAAAAAGCTCCCTAAAACTTTCTGGGGATGTTAGTTTGTGTTTATTAAAAATAAAACCTAAAAATACCCATTAGGGAACATTCTGAGTTGGTTCTCTTTAGGTTGTCACAAAAGGTGTAAAAAACAAACAAACAAAAAAACTTCCTACAACGTTCTGGGAAGGTTAGCTTTTGGTTAAAAAGAAACAAAATATTCCCAGAACATTCTTATTTTGTTATCCAGAAAAACAAACAAACAAAAAAGAACCAAATGGAAAACAAATGAGGAATGTTCTGTGTTTGCAGCAAAATGACGTTAGGGTTGAGACTTACAAAGTCACTCTTTCCACATCAACCCAGACACTGCAGAGAAATATATATATATACCTGTCCAAAACAAGAGTTTGACATGGATACTCTGATAACCTCCAACCCCCACCCCTGAATAATTCCATCTTTTTTTTGTGAGCCTTCATAGAATATTAACTAATTCTAAAGATTATACAGCCTTCATTTCTCTATTGAGCTTTACAATGGCTGACTGCAGAAGTAAGAAGCAAAAAATGGGAGCAATCACTAGTGCAATACTGCTCCAAATCCCACTGAAGATCATTAGTTTTCTTACCTGGTAACAGACTCCAAACATCAGTCCTTCTCCAGGGCAGGTAGACAGGCTAATGGAGTCAGATTCCTTCTCTGAAGGTAAGTAGATTACCAAGGAGATGAATTATACATGGAACTAGTCATGAGCTCAGGTAACTTCAGGCCAGTTTAACATGGTTACCAGCAAGGTTCATTAGGTTTCAGTGCCTGGTACTTGAGCAGAGGGTGGAAGCTTTTGATGGAAGATGTTTGGTGGGGGAATGATGAACCCATGTTATCTGCAATAACTGACTTCTAAACCTGAACGATGAAGACTGGAGAGGATAAAAGGTTAGGTGTCATGATACAACTTTTATCCATGTTGTGAACGTGCATGCCATGAACACCCTTGATTTGATGCATTTTCTTGCTGATGCACGATCGCCATCTTGTGGTGTCCTTTTGCAATTGCTGTTTTCAATACCATTGCGTGACAAACGTAGTGACGTCCAAATCAGAATCAGAATCAGAATCAGAAAGAACTTTATTGCCAAGTATGCTTGCGCATACAAGGAATTTGGTTTAGTGACACAAGCTTCCAGTACACAGAGACAACAACAACACACAGACAATAAAAAATAAGATGAGAATAAAAAATACACATATGTAAATATAAATAGACAAAAATGGAAAAATAAATTGAAAAATAAATGAATTGTATATACAGTTGTGCTATAGAGGATAGAATGGAATAGGCTAGAATGAGATGCAGGGATGTACTAGGATGGAGGTGGTAACAAATAAATATAAGGTTATTGCACATTTTTATTGCATGATGCACATTTTATTGCATAATGTGGGGAACATTTAACTGTTCATACGGTAGATTGCCTGGGGGAAGAAACTGTTCTTGTGCCTGGCTGTCCTGGTATTTGGGGCTCTGTAGCGCCAGCCAGATGGCAAAAGTTCAAAAAGGGGAAAACTTGGATGTGAGGGATCCAGAGTGATTTTCTGAGCCCTTTTCCTCACTCTGGATGTATACAGTTCTTGAAGGGTGGGCAGGGAAGCACCAATAATCCTTTCAGCAGTCCGAACCGTTCTCTGTAGGTTTCTGATGTCTGATTTTGTAGCTGAACCAAACCAGACATATTGAAGTGCACAGGGCAGACTCAATGATGGCTGAGTAGAACTGTTTCAGCAGCTCCTGTGGCAGGTTAAACTTCCTCTGCAGGCGAAGGAAGTACAACCTTTGTTGGGCCTTTTTTACAGTCGATGTGAGTGTCCCACTTCAGGTCCTGGGAGATGATGGATCCCAGGAACTTGAATGTCTCCACTGCAGCCACAGTGCTGTCTATGATGGTGAGTGGGGAGAGTGCAGGGGGGTTTCTCCTGAAGTCCACTATCATCTCCACTGTTTTGAGCGTGTTCAGCTCCAGGTTGTT